GAAAAAAACCTCGGCCCATTCGAGATCATCGCCCGCGTTGGAACCTACTCCCTCACTCTCCGCCTGCCGGAAAACATGCGAGCCATTCACCCGGTATTCCATGTCTCGCAGATCGAACCATCCGTCCCGAACACCATTCCGAACCGCCACCAGCCACCTCCGCCTCCCGTAGAGATCGAAGGCGAAATGGAGTTCGAGATCGAGGAGATACTTGACTCCAAGATCGACCGACGTAGACGCAACAAGTTGCTCTACTTGGTCAAGTGGCTAGGCTATGAAGGGACCGACGAGGAGACACAATGGCTCCTTGCCGGTGAACTCGATCACGCCTCCGACCTCGTCGAAGCGTTCCACTCTCGGTACCCAGCAAAGCCTGGACCCGAAGCTCCTTAGGAACCCCGACTCCTCTCCCATTTCTCCTTTCCCCTCCGCTCCTCACTTCCGTTTTCATTTTTATTTTCTCATTTGCTTTTCTTCCTGTAAGTGCAGCTCCCCTCGTCTTACTAATTCTGGGCCTTCAAGGGTTCAGGCCTAAGAAGGGGATACTGTCATATCCATCCCCGGCCATCGACTTCTGGTCCCTCCGATCCCTCCGATCCAACTCCGCTCCTCCCTCACTAACCTCGGAGCCCCCGTATTCCGCAATCCTCTTGGCACCCCTCGATGGTCACCACCCCCTCATTTCAATTTATTACCTACGCCTCCCTAAGTACGGAGCCCTGAAGACTTCCGGACAGCTCCGACGTCCGCTAGCGCACCCCCGCCTCCGTTGGGCAATACACTCGCCTGCCCTGCAGAGCCCACCTTCGGGCCTATCCCTCCTTTCCGTTTCTGGGTTATCGCCTGCCTTTCCGCTAACCCCGTGAACCGACTCGTCGGTAATATTCAGTCGGCTAATGGTTAAACCCCGTTAGCTCCGCTCCGTTCGGCTCCGCCAATTGCGGAACCATCTCCGCTGTAACCATATATATATCCCACTTGTACATAGGTTACGCCCCAGTAGAAAAATCAACTAGAGTTACCCCCCCTAGGTTCTAATTGCCAGTCAGTAAGTTAGGGCACGGACATGTCACTAGGCACAGCGCTCTTGGCAGAAGTCGCTGAGGCCGAAGCCCTCCGTTACGGAGACATCTCCTCGTCTCGAGTCTGGTCTCTGACAACCACCAGCACCACCTCCTCTGCCTCCACACTGCGAACCCCCCCGTAAAAAGGTCCGCAAACCTGACCAGTTCGATGGATCAGACCCTAAAAAACTCCACACGTTCTTCATCCAATGCGAAGTAAATTTCAAGACTCGAGCTCATGCCTTCCCTGATGAATCCGACAAGGTGTTGTATGTGGTGTCATACCTAAAGGGGCCTGCCCTTGACTTGTTCGAGCCGGACCTCCTCCGCAGCCATCACCTAGGTCGAGAACCACGATGGATGAACAACTGGGCAAGGTTTGTGCATGAGTTGGAGCGCAATTTCGGCCTGCATGACCCTATTGGCAAGGCTGAAGAGTTGTTATTCAACCTCACGATGAAGGATGGGCAGCGAATTGGTAAATACATGATTGAATTCAACTGCTATGCAGGTAAGTTGGATAACTTCGGCGAAGGGGCACTCCGTGCCATGTTCTATCACGGATTACCTGATCGAATTAAAGATGAGATCACTTGTTTTGGTAAGCTGTCAGAACTGTGCTAAGCTTCGCTGATGATAGCCGTTGGCGACCAAATGTTGGCCGCTAGCGATACAGGTGTCCTACTCATGACCAAGCTTTAGTGAGGATCAACCTCACCAATCTTGAGGCCGGGGCTACTTAGGTGAGTGGGCTGGGATTTTGGCTTCAATGACTCAGGGAGGAGCGTTGTGCCTCGTTCTTGATGCGGTCCCAATACTTCAGAAGGCAGAGGTCTTATGGGGAACAGAGGTAAGCTTAGGGGGGAATTTCTAGTTGATTTCGAACTACAGTACAAGCAATAGTTACAAGCTGTATATAAGCGCTAGGGAACTGAATAGAGAATAAGTCACCAGATCTCGTGGAGATTGCGGGCAGAGAAAAGAGAAAGGAAAACAAACAAGGAGCACATGTTTAAGACAGCGAAGGTCAAACGTGACCTTTGCCACGAGATAACAGGGTGCAGTGAAACATGGCACAAAAGGTCACAGTGCTCTGCACTGCTAGGTCATTCAACGAAAATTAGGAGAGGGTTCATGGAGGAGTGGCAGGAAGTGGTTAGACAGCAATGGGTGGCAAGTGGAGTGTGTGGGGGGTGTTCAGGCATGGGAAAAGGTCGGGGAGGAAGTTGTCTGACTCTGGGGAACGCTGGGTTGTGACAGTATCCCCCTCTTAGGACTGAACCCTTGAAGTCCCAAGGAACTGGCATGGGAATCGGTTCAGCTGAGCCCGAAATTTTGGTTCCGCTGGCATGGTGATCGAACTTAGCACCACAACATCCTGATGGCTCCCAAGAAGAATCCAGCAGATATAAGGATGTGGAGCAAGGGTGACATCGTCGATCAGTCTGATGATGATGTAGAGCTGATGGAACAGAAGCATGTGGAGAGGTTGTGGCATCGCAAGGCTGAGATTGCATGTCGTGAGGCCCAACAACAAGAGGAGGCAGCCAGGGCTCGAGCTGAGGCTGCACACCTCACCGCTGAGGATGAGAGGCGATCGAAGGCATCAGATGTGGTTGCAGGCAAGGTGAGTACCCCGATCAGTATGATCTTTGCCAGGAACCTTTACTGATCATCCTGATCAAAGTGTCTTGCCACTACATCGGTGGCTGGGGAAGGACTACCACCCTGAAAATGTTGTGCGAAGAGAGGCATGGAGTGTGTTAAAGGAAACAGCGATTGTGGCATCTGCACCGCATGTCAGAAGTCCAGGCAGAAATGCGTATGCAGGGCGGGAATGCCTCAAGCCATGAAGCGACCTCATATCAAGGTGCCGAAAGAAGAGGGATCGACAATGGATGTGGATGATGTGGAAATGGAGGAGGATGAGGTGGTCAGTGACAAGGACAGAATCTATGATGTGCTTCGTGACATCCATCAAGCGATCTCTGGTCTGACTGCTGTGGTGGGGCAACTGTTGGAACACGTCTGTGACACTGAGGAGAGATGATTGATGGAGGCGAGGCAAGTGGGGGAGAGGGAGGCAAGTGTAATGGGGTTGAGGGTTGATTGTCCCACGACGTCCACTTCCGACTCCTACTCCACTTTTTTCTTACATGATCCTTAAGCACAATCCATCCATTCCATCCCATGCCTTAGGCGCATTTTGCTCCTGGCTTATCTGGGTATCGTGAGTGAAAGTCCATAATGAGGTCTGAAGCATGACCAAGTTTGGTCACAGGGAGCCACTCAGTCTCTTCTGTAGTCCCTTTGTAACCATCCCAACGTGTGAGGTACAACAGCTTGCAGCTTTGCCAGCGATCAATTTTGGAGTCAAGGATCTCGGTGATCTCATACTCGAGTTCGCTGTCGATTTTGATTGGCGGCGGTGGTGGCTGCATGCGGTTTGGGATGGGGTTGAGGACAGCAGGCTCAAGTTGGGAGACATGAAAGACTGGGTGCACAGCCTTCATGCTGTTGGGGAGGCAGAGAGTATGAGAGTGAGAACCTGGCTGCACGATGTTCTCAAATGGCCCAAGGTTCTTATCGGCGAGCTTTGCCGAAGGCCTAGTGGTGCGGAAGTACTTGGCCTTCACGAATGCGGAGCTGCCAATGTCGAACGGGGGAGCAGGTAGCTGTCGAGCATCCACAGGGCCTTGGTAACGTTGCTGTGCATGGTTCATTTCCTCGCATAGAAATTGGTGGAGAGAGTTGAGATCGACCAAGTACTCCTGGGCTTGTGCCAAAGTTAGATCTCACTTGGGGTGTATCGCAAGGTTCAGGTGGTAACCTTTGTTCGCAAAGAATGGTGAAACACTGGTTGTAGCATTTGGCGCATTATTGTAGGCAAACTCCGCCAGAGGCAGGAGCTCGGACCAATTGTCCTGCTGGTAGTTACAATAGACACGCAGATACTGCTCCAGTGTTTGGTTCATTCGCTTGGTCTGACCATCGCCTTCGGGATGGTAACCCGAGGTGAAGTGTAGGCGAATGTCCAAAGCCTTACCAAGAGAGCGGAAGAAGTGGGAGATGAATTCTGAACCCCTATCAGAGGTTATGTGGGATGGAACGCCATGCTTGGAGAAGACATGAAGGAGGAACAACTTCGCTAACTCCGGGGCTGTTATGGTATCGGTTGTTGGCACGAAGACACACTGCTTTGATAGCTGGTCAATGATAACCAAGATAGCTGTGAAGCCGGAGGAGTCGGGAAGGTGCTCAATGAAATCCATTGATATGGAGTGCCATGGGCATTCGGGAATAGGTAGCTGTTTGAGCAAGCCATATGGCTTGTGTCGTGGGGCCTTGGCACGGGCACAAGCCATACAAGAGGACACATACAGTCATTCACCCCTGAATGAGACACATTTTACCAATCCAAAACCTGTTGTCACAACACTCCATTAAAAAATCCCAAAAATTTGTAAAGTACGAAGAAAACAAACTTGTACCTATGAGTGCCGATAATATGGAGAATGTTTCATCACAAAGTGAGTATGCAAGTAAGTATGAAATCAGGGTGTTCACCCCCCTATGAGACATGTGACATGGTGTGACATTGTGTTCGGGTGCTCATGCCGGACAGATGTTGCCTGCTTCCACTTATTGTCCTGCATCCTCCAGTGATGTGAAGGGCTTGTTTTGTTGAAGCTGTGGATAATTTTTGGCCATCCACTCCCTCATTCGGACCTCCAGTGGCTTTGGTGGTGCTTTTTGTTTGAGTGCGGCCAAGTGCGCTTTTTCTTCGCACCAGCTCATTATTTCTGCCTTCTGTGAGTTGTTGAACACTTTCCACCGCTCCTTAGTCTCTTCCTTCCATCGTTCCAACTCTTGCCCATTTAATTTTCTCTGAGCGCGCTCTGCTTGGTCCCTCAAGAAACCGTCATGCATCACAACTCAGCCAAATGTCCCTGTAATGTGTCCACCATCCTCCTTCGACTTCTCTGCTTCTTCCCACACTAAGAGCTGTGTCTGAGCTTTAGACACATACATTCCCCCTAATGCCAACTGGGCATTTGCCGCATCCACTGCATCAATGGCTCTCTCCACCAACACTTGGGCCTTCCGGAACTTGTGCTGCATTTTTTGGTTTTCTTGCACTAATTCGAGGCAAGTCTTGGATCTTGAGTCGCAATTGTCTGCAAGATCCTATTTAATTGGGGGTAGATCACTAAGTTGGCCATATGCACGTTCAGGAAGTTTGAATGTTGAACAGAGAGGTGAGGAGGACACAATGGAATTTGTGGATGAAGAAAATGACATAATATGTTCTAGGTCATTGATGGCATGCTTCTTTGCTTGGGCATGAGCTGGGGGAAAGGTAAGAGTCTCATTGGGGCTGATGGTGGTATTCTCGGTGCTGAACATTGTACACCCGGTGCCGGAAGATTGTGGTGATGTGTGGAGATTGTGGGTTGGGATGTTTGTGATTTGAGAGACAGCAAGCAAGGTGCGATTGATGATTGGTCCATCACTTTCATCATCACTAACCTCGTTGTCTGGAACATTACTTCCACCTAGGTACATTCTAACATCCTGCAAGTTGTCCATTGGTGAAGGTGTGCATTCCCGTTGGTATTTATGAGACATCAGCTGACTGTGAAAGTGCATAATGCGCTTAACAGGTGAGGCCACAGGGAGGGGAAGATCTCCTTGGGTGGAATGTTCAATACTCGGTTGTCATATCCATGCATACCCGACCCCGACCTGACTTCCGGACCTCCACCCTCTTCACCTCCGGAGTCATAACCTACCACTGCCGTTCCGATACTCACCTTCGGTCTTGGCAACACACCTCCCCCTCACCCCCCACGCCACCTCTACTCCTCCTCCTCCTACTCCACTCCCCCTCTGCAACGCCTCCACCCTCCTGTAATCCTCCTACGCTTCCCCCGTCCGCTCCGATACTCGCCTTCGGACCTGACAACCCTCCTCTCTGCCACTCATTCCCCCTTACCTTTCCCCTCTCTCCTCCCTCTGGTACTCCTCTGCCACCCTTCTGCCAAGTTACGACCTTCCGCCGCTGTCCCATACTTCCTACGTGGACGCCGATCGTATCTCCGCTCCGAGCCTCTGTCATAGTCCTGACCTCGGACTTTGACTCCACCTTGGTCTTAGTCCATTGCATTGGTGACCTCATACTACGTAAACACCATTGCCAATATCCCTTGGACTTTCAACCCCGCTTCCGTAACCCCCGTAAGCTCCGCAACCCCCGAGCTTCGTGGATCGCCTTCGGCACTTTCGCCGCTTGTAATGTATCTCTCGCATTTACCCCTCATCCCTATTTGGACTACTGCTTCTTCCCATTCTAGCCAGTTAGTCATCATCCCCACTTCTCCTCATCCTCCTGCCCCTCTGGGCCTTGCCCCCCCTACCTCCTTTCGGACGTATCACAGGTCCTCCCTTATGACCTTTCGGTACCGCTCCGTCCCTTCTTCCCTTTGTCCCCGTTCGGACGTCTTCGTTCCGATTCGGTTCCCCTTTGTTTCCTTGTGCTTTTGCCCCTTCCATTATATATATCGGCACTTGTACATACTCGTGGGTTCAGTCCGAAATCGACCTGAAATGCCCTCTAGAGACTTCCTGCTCACCTACTGCGAAATTAAGGACCAAATGGACAAACAGCAATGGCACAGCGCTCCGCTTGAGTCGCTGAGGCCAAGGTCCCTCCACACTAAGTCTCCGATTCCACTCCGGAGTCGTCTGAATCAGCCCATCTCTAACAGGTACCGAGAGGATTGCAGAGTATGGGAGCTCCGAGGTTAGTGAAGGAGGGGCGGAGTTAGACCGGAGGGAACGGAGGGACCGGAAGTCGATGGCTGGGGATGGATATGACAATATCTAGGTGTAATATTGACTAGAAATCATAGTAAAGTCAATATAGAATTTTATCTGTAGACGATCTATACATCAGGTGAGATCGTTGGGGGGTGTTTATTGTTGTTTAGACAGTGAACAATTATATATTTGGCAACCAAAACACGGTCAGTATGCAAATCAGCACAAACTCTAATATCGTTATTGGACGTAGGAAACTGGTTACATAAGGTGATCCAGCTCCACTCCTTCAACGCACGCGCACTAGGTTGTGCCCTAGAGCCATCCGGGGTCATCTGGGGCTAGGCATGTCATGTGCACATCGCAGGTGGGTCAATAATACATAGATACAAGGGAAAGGTCATCCGTGTGAAATAGAAATAGAAATAGAAATAGAAATAGAAGTGGAGGAGGGATAGAGGGGGAAGGGATATGAAGGAAGGGTGCAGGGTGAGAGAAGGGGTACTGGGTGAGGTGGGCCCAGGTGGAGGCGGGTCAGGCAGGTGTGCCCTGACAGCACTCTCCTGTCGTGCTGACCACCCAAAAGGGAAGGACAACAATGAAGGGCTAACCCTCCTCCAACCAGCCTGGTTTGAGGCTTGTGCAACAGAGGGAATCTCGGTGGAAGGAGAAGAGGTAGGAATTCTAGAGCGGATACACAAAGCAAAAGACCACAATGAGAAAGTGGTAAAGGCAATGCAAGAGCTGGGAGAAGGGACGCTAAGGTCGGACGAATGGGAGAGGCAGGGTGAACTAATTCTGTACTGGGGAAGGGTGTACATCCCTAAAGACCCCCAACTCCACCATGATCTTGTGCAGCTACACCACGATGTGTGGGCGATGGGACACCTGGGGTGGTGGAAAACCCTGGAACTTGTCTCCCGCAACTACTGGTGGCCCTGGATGGCAGAGTATGTCGGGCAGTACGTACGTGGGTGCGACACCTGCAACCGCATCAAATCTTTCTCCTCACAAAAAGTTGGGAAGCTCACCCCAAACAAGGTCCCCACCCATTGCTGGCAAGTGATCTCAGTAGATATGGTGGGAGAGCTCCCAGAGTCCAAAGGCTATAATGCCATCCTGGTGGTGGTAGACCACCTGTCCAAGTGTATCCACACAGTCCCCACCGTGACGACCATAGACTCGGTGGGTATTGCATGGCTCTTTCTAGAGCACGTCTGGAGGCACCATGGGCTCCCAGAGGAGATCCTCAGCGACAGAGGGAGCACCTTCGTCTCCTGCTTCTCGAAAGAGCTCACGGACCTTCTAGGCATCAAACTGACCCCTTCAACGCCCTACCACCCCCAGACAGATGGACAGACTGAGCGGGTCAACCAAGAGATCAAAGCTTATCTCCAGGTGTTCGTCAACCATCGACAGGACAACTGGGCGGACTGGCTCCCACTGGCAGAATTCTCCTACAACAACCGCATCCACTCATCCACCCACCGAACTCCTTTCGAACTCAACACCAGCCAACACCCCAGGATGGGGACAGAGCCCACACGCACATCCGAGGTGGAAGCTGCTGACACGTTCTCATCGAGGATGATGAAAATGCAGGAGGAGGCGAAGGCCGCACTGGAACACGCAGCAGACGAGATGGCCCGTTACTACAACCGAGACCGCAAAACAGCCCCAAAGTACCAAGAAGGTGACCGAGTCTGGCTCAGCATGCAAAACTACATGACTGACCACTGACCAAAAAGTTGGACCACAAATGGCTCGGCCCCTTCAAGATCGTCAAAGTCGTTTCCCCTGCTGCCATCAAACTCCAACTTACCGCATGCCAGAAGGGAATCCACCCGGTTGTATCCGTAACGAACATCAGACCACACCGCCTGGATGATATCCCAGAACGACCCACTGACCCCCACCCAGGTCCGGAACTTGTAGATGGAGAGGAAGAGTATGAGGTTGAGAAGGTATTGGACTCTAAGTGGCTATGCTGGAAACTCTGGTATCTGGTAAAGTTTGTTGGTTGGCCAAGCTCAGAGAACCAGTGGCTCCAACGGGACCACTTAGCCCATGCCCCCGACCGGATCGAGGAATTCCACAGGATGCACCCCCAAGCCCCAGGGAGAGAGAGAGAGAACCATCTGGCTGCTTTGAGGCAAAGCAGCTTAAGGAGGGGGTGATGTCAGGGCACACCTGCCTGACCCGGTTCCACCTGGGCCCACCCGGGCCTGCCTCACCCGCTCCCTGCTACCCATCCTCCCTCCTTCCTCCCTCCTCCCTCCTTCCTCCCTCCTCCCTCCTTCCTCCCTCCTCCCTCCTTCCTCCCTCCTCCCTCCTTCCTCCCTCCTCCCTCCTTCCTCCTTCCTCCCTCCTTCCTCCCTCCTTCCTCCCTCCTTCCTCCTTCCTCCCTCTTCCCCTTCTTCCCTTTCCTCCCTTTTCCCTCTTTCCTCTTTCTCCTTTATTTCATTCTCCCTTTCTGTTTATTCTTTCTATTTACATGGACCACCTTCCCTTGTATCATTGTACTGTTGACCTGTCTGGCTTGGACACCCTGGACAACTTCCCACTACACCTAGCATGCGCGCCTGCAGCGGATGCCCTCAGGATCCCCCGCAGGGATACCTGGATGGCTGCGGCTCTCTCCATAGATGATGTGGCACCCGTCATGTGACCCAAGCCGCATGTACATAAATGTACCTGAAGCGGGAACTGAAGAAGTAACCTTCTTCTCACATTTTCCACTTCAGGTAAGTAGTGTAGTTCTTCCTTTTAATAACAATTCACATTTTCCACTTCAGTCTAAGTGGCCAGGGACTACAGTCCCAGATCAGGCCCATCAGTACACGCACCTGCTTCGCTCCCCAAGAGGGTCCCTCTGCCAGGCACTACATCCGGGCCCCCTCCACCCCGGACATGTCCCTGACAAAACGGAAGTCCAAACCTAGGTTGTCTACCGCTCTAATTGCCAAATCTGGAAAGGTTGCTAGCAAAGAGTCAGATAAGTCGGATGGGAAGAAATCTAAAGATCACCCACGTTGTACAAACACTAACTGTAAATGGAGCTTGGGACACACCTTCGAACAGTGTTGGGCAGAAGGTGGTGGATCTGAAGGACAATGGCCAGCGAAGTTGAGTGACAAACAAGCCATAAAGGATAAGAAGAAGGACGCCAAGATCGACCTTTTTCTGGTAGAAGAACAGGTGGCAGTTGCAGGGAGCGATCATGCACAGATGACTGAATGGGTTATAGACTCTGGGCATCATCACATATCTGCACTAATCGCAATTGGTTCTCTTCATACTCACCTTTACATCCTCATCCTGTCTACCTCGGTGACAAACATGCACTTTTTGCCACTGGTCAGGGCCAGATCGAAGTCATCCTCCACAATGGGACCAAAGATCGTTGCATCATCATCACTAACATTCTTTATTGTCCGAAAATCGGCACTAACCTTCTCTGCATGGCACACTTGACCTCAGTTGGGGTACAAGTTCATTTCTCCATCCACCCTTGCTGGATCCTCAATCCAAATGACGAAGTACTTGGCATTGCTAAGACTTCTGGTGGCCTTTATAGGCTACCTTGTATCGTAACTGGTTTAGATTGTACATACATCAGCAGAGATGTTGAGGACAGGAATGTCAAAGCTGTGCTGGTTGCTTGAGCAACCACAGTGATGGCATCTCTTGATGTTTGGCATGCCCGACTCAGACACATCTCAATGCAGTCAATTCTGAAGATGGTTGCCAGGGGAATGGAAGTGATAGGG